GTTAAAAAGAAATATAAATTGCCATGGATTTCATATAATGAATTTACGGATTTAGAAGAAATTGGATACGGTGGTTTTTCAACCGTATATCGAGCCAGATTGAATGAAAAAGTAATTGCACTTAAATTGTTTCGTAATTCAGAAGAAAACAGGGAAACTTTTATACACGAAGTAAATATTATTATTTTGTTTGCTTGAAATAAAATAAGTTATATTAATATGTTTTTTAAAATATTTTAGTTAAAAACTCATTGTGAAATTGGTAATAAAAATTCATCATTCTTGCAATGTTTGGGAATATCAAAAAAGAAATATTCAGGAGATTTTATACTTGCTATGAAGTATATGGAAAAAGGTTCTTTACGTAGCCAGTTAGACTATGTAGCACGGATGAACTGGAAGAAAAAATTAAAAATTTTAAGTTGTGTTGCTTCTGATCTCAAAGCAATTCATAATCTAAATTTTATTCATAAAGATTTACATTGTGGGAATATATTACTTGATGCTTTAGACAGAGCGTATATCACAGATTTTGGACTTACATCAAATATACATACAGATACAGAAATAAACAATAAAATATATGGAGTTTTGCCTTACGTAGCTAATGAAATTCTGCAGGGAAATTCATTTACAACTGCAGCTGATATCTATAGCTTCGGTGTTATTATGACAGATATATCATCGGGAAAAAGTGCTTTTGATGGTGAGCCGTTTGATATTGATCTTGCAATAAAGATTTGCAATGGATTACGACCTGAATTCACACCAGGAACTCCTGAATGTTACATTCAATTTGCAAATAAATGTATGGATCCTAACCCTGAAAACAGACCTGTTGTGGATACTGTTTCTGATGTAATCAAAAGCTGGCTATACCTAATAAATTCTGATAATGATAATGAAATCAAAAATCAATTTTCCGAAGCTGACAATTGCGATCCAATAATTAATTTACCAAAGCATTCTAATCACATTTACACAAGCAAACTCATAAACACGCAAGAGATCAAGAGGAAGTTAGTAAATTCAGGGTTAATCAGTAAACCTATTGAACTTGCAATTATTGAAGATTTATGATTTTATAATTTCTTATATTTAATTATTAATATTAAATTTTATTTTAATCATTATAAGTTATTAGCGTTAGAACATACCAAAACGGTTCATATCTATACAATGTTGTGCGCATTAAATCTTAAATCCTGGAATTGCTTTTATTTTCATAATGATTTCTCATAAAAAAAAAATTGTCTATACTTTATGTGTACATAATTAATTTACAAAGAAACTTTTATAGTTTTCATAAATTTCAAATAAAATTTTATTGATGAAAAATTCCTCAATCCTAAGCAAACTATTTTTCAAATAATTTATTGCTTGTTGTATCTTCACGAAATAGCGCCCATCAGGAAGTTTTATGTGTTAAAAAATTATTGCTCTATAAAGGGTCTGTTAAGCAAAATTTTATTTATAAAGTCTATATTATTCTGCACCATAGGTCATAGGTCTCTATTTCTCAAAAACGTGTTAAGTAATTAAGGTTAGAGATACTAAATCAAATATTCAGAACCCCAAAACCTTGTATCAGTGTTGTTCATGGACCATTCCAGTGAAGATTTTTATCACTGGAATGGAAGTTCCAGTGACGTCCAGTGACTTCCAGTGGCTTCTGATTGGCCGATTCGAATTAATCACTGGGGATAGTGAGCAAAGATTAAACGGCATAAAATTTAAACTCCAGATACCTACCCGCTTATACAAACGTTACCGGATCACCAACAGGATCATTTCTGATAACCAGAGTAACTTGGGTAATCTGGCATAGATCGAGCGATAATGTTAAAGACTTTGTTGACGAATTTTACAATGTTTTTGGTATATCAAAAAAATATTGATTATATTATCGTAATGAGATACATGAATAAAGAAAGAATCATTATTTTAAAATCTTGAAGCAGTATCAGAAGATGAGTTGGAAAGTAAACTGAATATATTGTATTGAATAACTTTGGAAGCTCGAAAACAATTAGTCGCCAACTAACTAATTTGATTGGCCAATAATCACATTTAGATTAGCCAATCAGGCGAATACGTTCCAGTGAGAAAATCGTTCCAGTGGAATTTCTCACTGGAACCACTGGAACACTGGAAATATAATTCAATTCACGTGTTATATAATATAATTAAATTAAATTGTTTTTTAAAGCAAATATAATTCAATTTACGTGTTATATAATCAAATTAAATTTATGTGTTTTAAAGCAAATATATCAAATTACAAGTTATTCTTTCTTTTCGAAAATGATTCCAGACAGTAGATCTACGTTTGGGCTTATGGGTAGTTGTGTTTTAACTATTCTTTTCATTATAGATCCCTGTTCGTTTTTGGCCATGTTTGTATAAATAAAATATTCTCTAAAATTCTTTATTAATAATTTGCAATTGTAATAAAATACGTATTTATCTACCGGTAAATTCTAAAGAATTACATATGTTGTAATTACGTTAAATTACATATTATTTATGTATAATTACAAAATTTTTATTAATGCAAATTATTAGTCACTTTAAACTTCATTATATTTATAAAATTTCACGATTCAAATCAGAGTCACGAGTTGATTGCGCTTAAGTATGTACAGTATATTAATGTTTAACGAAATAAAATAAAAGCATTTTGTATATGTACAGAAATAATATTAAATTCTTACATCGAATACATATTAACAAAGATACTACAATATACAATAAAAAAAAAAAATTACAAGATATTTCTATGCAATTTGTAATTGAGTATCAACAATTTTTCTCGAATCATCCTGTCGTTGTTTTTTAGCTTCACTTTTTTGATTAGAGACTTGATCACCAAAAAGTCTTGCAACAAATAAAGCAGCAGCATTACTTTCAGCTTGCTTTGATGATGATTTTTGATGACTCCTCCTTCGTTTTGATCCTCCATTTCCATTTCCTCTTATAGATTTATACTTTTTTGGTTTATCAATTTGAAGGTAACAAATCAAAGTAATTAAGATTATTAAACAGATTATGTTTAACCACATAAAGATTAGATTTGCAGCTCTAATTTCACAAGCTTCCTTAATTTTCGGTGAAGTGTACGGATACGAACGTGGACATGAAAAAGGGATTGGTGATATTTCTGAGATAGTTAGCGCTGTGTAGGTTGCTTTTGTAAAAAAAGAAAATTATATTAACTTTCATTGTCATAAATAATAATAATAATAATAGTAATAATTGAATCTCATAAAAAATTGATAAAGTTTCATAAAAAGAAATGATAAGAATTTCATAAAAAGAAATGATAAAAGTTTCATAAAGAAAAATGATAAGAGTTTCATAAAGAAAAATGATGATAAAGTTTCACAAAAGAGTTTGAAAAATAACAAAAATAAAAATAGCAAACATTAATAACTTACCTGGAATTATTAACAAAAAAACGGTTGCGACACTAAATATATTCACGTGATAAATTGGATAAATTTGGTGAATATACAAATAAAAAAAATTAATACATATCGATATACATACGTATAAGCATATAATAATATAATAATAATAATAATAAATTTCTTGCCTATATATTTTGTTACATTTACAGTTGTGATTACAGATACAACAAAGACATTCAAGAATTACTAATGCTAATTAATATTAAATTATAAATAAATAGATACAGTAAATATATTTACGTAATATTTAAAAAAAATAATGTTAAACAAAAGTTCGTACGTACTGACTTGTGCAATCGTAAATGCAAGATAACTGTAACCATTTCAAAAATTACGGCAAAGTTCCCTCGTTATTAGTAATTAAAGTCGTAAACTTTAAAAAATTTTGTGGGGAAAATTCATCCTTACGGAATTTCTACTAATTCGTTATATTTAAGTTCTCCGTTTGATTGATCAAACGTTGTGATCTTTTGATATTCTATTCTTATACAGTTTTATGGTAACCAAAAAAAATAAAATAAAAATAAAAATAAGGGACGAATGTATTTAATAAAAATGACAATATGACAAATGTGAACATAACACGTGTGACATAACATAACAAACTTTCAAGACTTTATATGCATATTTATTATCATCAAAATAGTTCGTTACTTACCCAGAACGGGGCAAACAAATGTAAAAATGAAACCTGGTACTAATAAGAAACTTAGTAATTGTAATCTATAATGACGTTGCATGATGAAAAAAAAAAGACTTTGTGTATATTAATTTTTTTATGCACCCGCTTTAATTCTACCACGTTGAATTTAGATTATTCATTGGCAAAAGCGTATATGATTAGTAAAGAAAAAATAGAAGTGTCCAACTACGTGTAGAAGAGGATTATTCAAAGTTCTAAATATATTTCATAGCCACCTCACTGCCACAAAAGAAGCGGGCTAGCCACAGAGAAATCAATACAATGTGATTACCACATGGCTGTGTTAAGCTCGGTAAAATTATATGTGGACAGACAGTTTATAAATAAAGATATATTTACATGTCTTAAATGATTTAAGATTCCTAATACTAATTATTCTAATAAAAGAGGATTTCTGTTCGGAATGCTTACCGTTAAGAATTTCAAGCGCGTAACTTTATTAAATCAAGCACATATGTACATACGTACTGCACGTACGTACGTACTTCAGAAGTGTGTATAACAAATAATCTTTTTAGCATTTAACGTCAATATAATAATTACGCGCCAAATAGTGAAATAGTACGTGAACAAGTCGTATATTTATTGAATACTCTTTTTTAATATTAACTTTATCCTCTGAATGGTAATAAAATAAAATGTAAGGCCCTTACTAGCCTAAAAAAAATAATTTTCTTTGTTAAAAAATCATAAAAAAAATAACATATAATTATTTCAAAAACTATTTTATGAGAACGGACAAGAAAAAGGGTAAATGAGAATTCGATTGTAGTATATATGCAATATTACTACACACAAACAAACGTTTCAATGTATCTCGACATACTCTAACAATTATCAACATAAAATAAACAATAATCATACAGTAATAATAAGCACAATAGAAGTTTGATGGTTTTTTCTTGTATTCATAATTTTTGTTTTATTCCTTTATGATGCTCAAGATACCTACATTAAATATCTTTATCGTACCAACTTACATTTTGTATGATTTTAAAAGGTGAAAAGAAAACAGTCTCTTGCTATGTACAAATCGACTTAACAAATTATTAACCTATTAATTCGATGTAAGAGTACGTACATTTATTCGATAAAAAGATTCTTTTTTACCAGTTTAGCCTCACGAGGCTATGATTTATTTATAAGGATACATATATCGAGGATTCATAAGTGGCAAAGCGAAAAAAAAAAATTACATATATAATGATAACAGTCGATCTAGTCATTTAAAGAACTTGTACATGTTTAACTGATCACTGGTTCTTTTTGCGATATTAAGTATGGATTATTGTTTTTACGTGATTATTTTTTTTTTCGAAATTATTTTTAAGATTGCATTTCTTGGGATCGAGCTTTGTGTAATTATTGTATTTGAAACTTTTTTGTGTAATCATTTTAAAAGATTTTTGAAAAGCCACGAAACGGATAATAAAAATCAAGGAAACAAAAATTGGAATAAAATCTTAATCCTTAACTGGCATAATAATGTTCCGATATCAAGAACTTCTCTGTTTCGGCGTAATATTTACACCAAGTTTTGTTCTTATATGTGTTTGTCCTGTCTTAGGTAAGTATGTATTTTCTTTCAATTTCTTGTTTTTATTTTTTATTTTTTGAATATTGAAATTTGATTGGCTCTTAAGAGTATTAACTATCTTTACCGTCAATTTATTGCATAAGAGGTGCAAAAAATTATACTATTTAATGAGTCTAACGGAGAGCTTACTTATAATGTATGGGTTGAATATTTGTAAGTAGACTCAATTATAATGAAAAAGTTTTATTTTAAAAATTTATTAATCCTTTTTTTTTTCGAATCATTTTTGGTAGGTATCTAACACTTACAATTTTTTTAATTAGTAGGTATTTGGTTCCTAAATTCTTTTATTACGGATAATGTAAATCAGACTTTCTTTTTTTGAAATTTTAGTTTTATATTTATTCTTGTGCGGGTGTTGTTGTTGCGTTGATCTGACCAAGTTAAATTATAAATTCAAGTAAGTCAACATGATTAACAAGATTTTTACAATAAGGCCGCTCAGAGTTGGTTAGCTGGTTAAAATTTTGGGTTTCAGATGTGAGAAGGGGTGAAATTTGATTAAATTTCATTAGTCAATTTTAATCACATAAGTTTAAACAAGAAGGATAATATTAAACTAATCAACTTTGAACTGTCTAATGATAAAACAAATTTTTTTTTTTTACTAAAAATTCTAATTCTAGATTGGCTACATTACTTTGGTTAATAATTCCAAGTAGGTTTATCTTTTCATTATGCTCATTGATAAAAAAACATCAATCTTCTGAACAAACAAACCCAAAACAAAAAAAAACAAACCCAAAAAAAAAAAATACCAAAAAAAAAAAAAAATAAAAATGCAAAAATGTGATTAGCACTCTATACATTAGCAACTTATAAAGAATTAGGCAAGATTCCAGTATACTGTCCATCAAACTATCCTTATGCATCCAGAATAATTCAAGATGCCTGCGAAGTTCGACTAACCAACCTAGTCTGCATGTGGCTAAATTTCATTTTCTTGATCTTATTCATGTTATCATTATGTTCTTTAAATAACCAAAGATTTGATGTGGAAATCGAAGTGGAGAACAGGAATTTACCTGAAATGGAAGATCTTTATATTTCAAAAAAGCCAGGTGATGATGAATTTTTATCGGTTGATGATTCCGATAGATTCTTTGGTGATCGGAGAATGACAGGATCTCCAGGAGGACATAATGAGTAGTTATGGTAATTGGTTGTAATATAAATAGAGTAAATATAGTAGAGAATCTTTTTTATACATAGATTTATTCTAAATTTGATTAATTAGATTACACGTTTTTTTTTTTTAAAAAAAAAATCATTTCTTGTATTTTTCTTGTCGATGTTAACCTTAAAGAACTTTTTTAATTAAATTAAAATGAGTCTTTAAAAGAATTCCTTATTTAATTGGAATGAATTGTTTTTCTTGATTTGAACTGGCTTTTTATTATTGTTTTAAAGAACATTCTGTATTAAAATTTATTATTCCGTAGTCCCATATTATAAATATATTGTTACAAATAATTAATCTAATTTTATCAACAAAAATTAACCAAAAAAAGTTATTTAATACGCATGTACATACGTAAATGTACATACTGTACGTATGTACATGCGAATTTTTACTATTATTATTCAGTATATGCGTTACAAATTACATATATACTGTTACGTATTATTTAAATAATTAAACAAACCCGTTGTGATTTCTTTTAAGGTTATGCGCAATTAATTAGTCATCAATGACAAACTTGGCACTTGTAGGTGTTTTCATGTCCATATTAATGAAATTATTTAGATTGTCGAGTTCATCCATGTTCTGTGATTTACTCACTTTATCAGAAATTGAAATAATCAGAAATGAAAATGAGAAATTTTACTTACGTAAATGATAAAAATGATAAAAATAATAATAATAATACATACATAGTTCTTTTAATCCTTTTCCAAAATTTCTAAGAACAAGGATGCCATATACGTAGGTCCCCTGGATCGATTAGGAAATGTTAGTTTAGATAATAAACATCTACTGTATGAAACATGAAAAACATTTGAAACGTGTAAAAAAAGGATTACTAACAACATATATTCCAACCCAAAATAAAGTTGATGGAATGACTATAAAACCATAAAAATCATAAAATTAATTTAAATTAATTAAATTAAAAAAAAAACAATTAATTGAAATTGGAATTTAAATCAAATCGTTATTACATACTAGCAAGGATTAAGTAATCCCACTGAGTGAACTCATCGTAATTTAAAACCGTATTCGAGATATTTTGTAATAAATCTATTACAACAGCAATTATAATATATATCCATAGTATTGCAAATGTTATCATTCCGGGTCTCCATTCAGAATGTACCTGTTATGTATTATAAAAAAAAAAACATTATCAATATGATTAATTTTATCTGAAATTAATTTTATAAAAAAATTAATAATAATGATAATGATAATTACAGATTTATATGCCAATATTACAAGAAAAAAATTTAAAAAGGAAGCAGTAACGTGAACTATGGTTAAAGCAGTTGATTCTTCTTTATAATTTTGGTATACGTAATTTCCAAAGTGAATATAAGGGACAATGAAGGAGAATAGGTAAAGAAGGATGGTGAAGATATTCATTTTTAGAAATATCATAAAAACCAAATATTTCTTATATGAATCTAACAAAAAAAATAAAAAAAAAATTAAGAAAACTCATTAATGAAAGATTTAATATACTATAGTATATTTAATTTTTTTAAACTTTTTTTTTTTTTACCTCTCATTTTTACATCACCGCCTATTTTTTTATATAGATTCCATCCAAATTGCTTATAGAGCAATAGTGAATACCAGGTCGAGATTGCAGTAAATATTAAAAGTAGCGTAAGGAATGGAATGTCATTTGTCCAAAATGATGGATCAAAATCGGTTTTTCCTTCACACACTTTAATACTGTGTAATTGGTTTAAAGGAAATTTTATTTCTAGACCTTGGACCTTTGATAAAAATAAAATTAATAATTTTATTATTAAAAAGCTAATAAGGAGAAAAATAGGACTTACAAGACCAAAAAAAAGCCATCCGAAATTAAAAAAGCAAATGGTCATTATTTGAATGGAATGTTCGTGAAATACCTAAAGAAAATAAACGAATTTAAATTAATATTCATCCTTTCAATAATTTTTTTTTTAAAAAAAATCATTTAATTGATTTATAACATTTTATTACCGCGTTGAAAAATAAATAGAGCTGCCAAATATGAAATACGATAAAAATGACGTTATTTCCAGCTAAAAATCCTGTTGGGATTCCACTAAAATCTGAAAGGAGAGCATCATAGCATTCACGATTCGTCGTTTGAAATCCTTTAGTATATGGATTTGGATTTAATTGAAGATTTACATTGCGTGTTAAAAGTTTCATTTGAAAAGCTAAGATAAAGATGGTCTGAAATATCGCTAATATTATGGCGGTTTTTGTGGTTTTTGAGGCGGTTATTCTTTGCCACTGTTAAAAAAAATATAGAAAGAAATAAATATTACATTAATGATATATAATGAATATATGTTTTGTGTATATATACATATATATGTCTTTTAAACATACTTTTTTTATACAATTTCTCTTAAAATTTGTTAAAAAGAGTGTCGAAACCATTGCAAGTAGACAATGGTAACATCAAAATTCTAATACTAGTCAACTAATGGCCTTGACAAACGCTACACGTGATGGTAATTCAAATTTAATTTATCACGTGTGCATATTATATGTCTATGCAAGTCTATGCGAAAGAAAACCGATCTTTCGAAGAGATTAAGAGAATGTATAATTTATAATTAAAAGAGGGCAAAAAAAAATAAAAAGAAGTAAATCAGAAAGTGAAATGTCGTGATGCCTTTTTACGTAAATTTCCCATAACAATTTAGTATAATAAAAAGGAATACATATGCACATATTGTAATTCAAAATAATGCCATGTGTTGATAACACATGCTCTTTTCGGTTCTGGATTTACACCATGTTGATCATAAATACATTGCTTCCTCAAAATTATACGGGCCGCTTAATATTTTAATGTGACGTACAGATGTACAACAACAAATTGATGTTGCTATATTCCAATATCGATATTCGGATTAACCATTTAATAATTCCCGTAGTTTGTTTTTTTTTAAAGTGATGGTTACTACTGCACTGTGACTGTACAGTATCTGTACAGTATTTGTACGGTGTCTGTACAGTATTTGTACGGTGTCGGTACAGTGCAAATAGTGTAAACATATATATATAGATACCAAATAATGATATTCTGGAATTCTAGAGTGATTTCAAAGAACGAGACATTTCTGTTGCAATAATTCTCATCAAAATAATACCTCATTGGTAAAATATTCCCGAAATTTACATCCGGGATAACTCTATAATTTTTTCAAATATTATATATCGATATATATAGTTTTTAATACTGTAATATAATCAAATTTTCATAAACTGGATAAACTGGATAAACAGGTATCATTTTTTGTGTACAATTAATTAACAAGTACTGAAGTATTTTGAGGTCAACGGCAGCGGTAACGTGTAATAATATATTGTGTACGTTATACAAGTAATTTCCTTATTTAATATAATGATATAACTTATCATTATCGTTATGTTATGGCTGTGCAGATACGCTAAAAATTTCAATTATCAACTTATCTGTTATAATTTACAAAATGATATAATTATCTGTTATTAAAATGAAAAAAATGATAACAATAAAATATATTACATTGTCGACTTATCAAGCAAATATTTATTCACTTACGAATTGATTACGATTACGTACGATTAAATGAAAGCCGTTTTTCTGAATGTAGTTATTAGAAGTTACACAATGTCCGAAAACACACTACCGGGGAGGTAGGGATCAAATTTAAATTCAATAAATGTATGTTATTAGTTTATTGAATGATATAAAAAAGTATATAATGATATATAGTAAATGTAATTATTATATTTATTGATTAACTGCATATTTTTCGCATCAAAGTTTGGACAAATTTAGAAAGTACTTTAATTCAAACATGCCTTTCTTCGAAAAAAAGTTTTTTTCTAAATACTTTTTGCGTATGAGCTGTACAAAAGTTTCACTAATTGCTTAACCCCCTTTGTAGTAACTTTGTAAGGAAAATTATATCTGTAAAAGGTAAAAATGATAAACTGTACCACTTTCTTTGCGTCAGGTTTGATTATAAATAAAATCATCCATGGCTCTATTAACTCATGCTCCTCCGAGTTGCATACCTACATCCTAAAATACATAGGAATAATCAAAGTCAACTTTAAGATTTGATTGTGGTTAACTTGGATCAATCCATTTAGTTCCACAGTTAATCTTCCTTTGATAGGAAGCATAGATATTAATTTTTAACGTATTTAAAAAAAAAAAAAAAAAAAAGTATTCGTTACGAAATCATTATTAAGTAATTGAATTTTGTTATTCGTAAAGAACAAACCTTCGTGTGTATATACTATATACTTTTCGGAATTATTTTATTATATAAAATGGAAGATTTTACAACTAATTTCAAAAACCATGTCTCAAAAAAGGTACGTACGTATTACATCAAAATATTATTTGATCATTGTTTGTACAATATCAAAGACGATTAAATACCGTTCTATCCTTAACATCTGATCTTCCGATCCTCACTGATCTTCTCATTTCTCTAATTTCCTTTAATAAAGTGGTCGAAAATAAATGCATCGATATACACGAAACTTTTCGTCTTATGCTCTATACTCCAATGTATAATCATAATCATTCTTCAAGTTAAAATAGTATTCCGTAATTTAGGTCTTACCTCTACTTGGAAAGATTACCAAACAAATGCAACAGTTAATGACTTTGATAAAGATAATTGTCAACAATTTAAGGATAGATCTCTTCCAAAGTTTCCCTTTCTTGCTTTTGATAATTTGATTTTTATTATGTTTCAAGCATTTCAGTTGTATTTTTGCTTCAATGCGGTAAGTTTTCTTTAAAAATATTCGTAATGATTCGGATGTGTATGCTATTTAAATTTATGAAAAATTTATGAAATTTATGAGATTTGTGATTTTTCTATTTTTATAGATATTTCATGAACATATTATTCAAATTATAACAATTACTGTACTAAATTTTTGTTGGGCACTTTATGGAACTGTAAGCATTTCTTTCTCCTTTTCTTTTTCATTTCAAATTTAATCATATCATTCATTCATTAAATCATTTCTCAATTACTAATTAAGGTACAAGCTGTTGAGGTCAAAATTTCATTAGGTGAACTAGATGAGCTCTCCAACTGTGTAAACAAACCTACTCTTGTGCCAAACTTTTGGGGAAACGATATTCCATGTGTTGTAATACTTCTAATTTTTGCTTTTATTATGTCTTACCTTTCATATAAACTTTATAAACAATTTGGTTGGGTTAATTATAAAAAAATCGGTGGTGATCCTAAAATGCAATGTAATAATTTATTTTTTTTATACCTTGTTTTTATATGAGTGTCAGAGAGCGAAGATCTGTAAGTAAAATATTAAAGTTATCACTCTGGCAAAGTTGATCCCCCTGAAGAATCGTGATATTACATAATTAATCACATATATTCTTCAGAGGCAACTTTTACCAGAGCGATAGCTTAAAATTTTACTAACAAGTTTTCGCCCCTCTGACACTCATATTGTCTTTTTATTTCTTTTTGTTTTTTTTTTTTTTTTAATTCCTTTTCCTGCATTTTTTGAATAGGTATATACAAGAATCACTTAATTTTCTTGATGTTGCTGAAACTTAACCTACTGTCCATATTATTATTTATGATTCCTTCATTGATCATCATTCTTGTTTATCCGTGGCAAGATAAAAGACTTTTGACTGGGTTTATTATATTTCACATGGTCGTTACCGTCATGGTACTTATATTGGAAATACTGGCTTATCGATTTGTAAATATATCTCTTTCTATTTTTTTTTTTCAAAAAAAATTTTTTTTAACATACCTTTTTATTAAAAAATAGGTCGCAACAGAACATAAATTAGGGATGGTAATATTTTTGGTTTTATGGATTGCAGTCATTGTTGATTTTGTGTTTGCTATGGTTTGTGCGTTCTACTTTTTCGTGGAAATTAAAAGCTATTGGTATTTCGGAATTATTATCCGTATGTATTTATGAAAAATTTCTCTTGCTTTATATTATTTGTTTTTGTTTTTTTTTTTTGTTTTCTTTTTTTCGATATTAATAACTTTCTATCTTATTTGTAGTTACACTGTTGATTATAAATTCCGTGGTACGTGTGATTTATTATTTCCGAATATGGGTTTTAAGAATTTTTTTATTAATTCGCGTTATTTTTTGCCTTTATAGCTATTGTTTACTTTTGGTGTTAGGGTAGTGAAACACTTTCGTCAAGGATTAAAAGAAATTCGTAAGTCTCGATTTATAAAATTGACGCATTTTTTATACTCAATACTTTAATCCTCACATACGTTTTTTATTTTAAATTAGTTAATAAAAATGAAGTTCAACAAGAAGAACCTCCTTCACAAAATCCTGGAGGTTTGGCACACATTTGGGATGATCTAGAATTTGAGCCCGGTCGTGAAAAGAAATGGACCATTGATGATTGATGATAATGATAATGATTAATTAATTAAATAGTATTCTTTTTTTAAAATTATGAGTTGAATGAATTAAAATTAAAATAAAATGCCTGGATGCATTAAGGAGTTGCAAAGTATTGTTCATTAACAAAGTTTTTGTATTTTTTTTTTTAAAAAAAAAACTGAAAAAATTGTAAATTATAGATAGTTTATATGAAATAGAATTATTTATGAATCAATCTCATTTTCTTATTCTAAAAAAGAAAAAAGAAAAATTGAAACTGACATTACATGAACATTGAAACTAATGTATATTATTTTTTTATTGTGAAACTTAATTAAATTGCCCGATACAAGAATTAAAATTAGGGTCGTTAAATAGCTCATTTTTCGATAGTTCAAACCATCAGAACATAGTTGGATTTTCACGTGAGTAACTGACTGTTACGTTTATACCCCGCTTCGAGATCTTACCAATAAAGTTTTAATTATACCTAGATGTTAGATCATTATACATAGTAACCGCAGCGGACACATGATAGTATTCGCTAAATTTAATTTTATTGATAAAAATCAAAGATCCCTTCTAAAATTTTGAAAATTTTTTAACTTCTGGCGAAGGTTTCTCAATAACCTCTTAATTAAATCTAATGAGCTTTTTTTATTTTAATACTATAATATGCAGAACTGAAATAAAAAAAATATATTGACAAATTCTATTTGGTAGTTATCGAGAAATATTCGTCTAAAGTTTTAAAAAGTTAGAATATCAAATTTTTAAAAATCGGATAAAATTTTCATTCTTTGAACTTTACTTGAAGATTTCTCAACGACTACCTAATCAAACTTGATAAAAAATTTTTATTTTAATTCTACGAATTATAGAATTAAAAAAAAAAATTGATCCAATTTGACTAGGTAATTGTCGAGAAATTTTCACTTAAAGATAAACAAAAAATTTAGCCGCAGCTTTTTTTTATAGATGCTATGTTTTGAATGAATATTTCTCCGCAATTAATTATTCAATTTAATGCAAATTTTTTTATATTAATTGTATAATTTATGGAAGCAAATAAAAAAATTTCATCGAATTTTGATAGTTATTTGTCGAGAAAAATATTTACTCAAAGTTAAACGTTTATGAAAAAAAAGCTGCGGCCAAATTTTTTAATTATATAGATTTAAATTATGACTATCCAAATTCGATGAAATTTTTTTTATTTCAATTCTACAAACCATCAGAATTGAAATAAAAAAAAAATTCATCGAATTTGGATAGGTAGATGTCGAGAAATCTTTATTTAAAATCTTTTAAGAAACTTATCTAATTTTTTTTTAATCTTTTAAAATTTAAATAAAGATTTCTTGACATCTACCTATCCAAATTCGATGATTTTTTTTTTATTTCAATTCTGTTGATTTGTAGAATTGAAATAAAAAAAATTTCATCGAATTTGGATAGCTAGTCATTAATAAATCTTCATTTAAATCTAATTAAAAAATTTGGCCACGGCTTTTTTTTTAAAAACGTTTAACTTTGAATAAATATTTCTCGACAAATAGCTATCAAAATTCAATGAAATTTTTTTATTTTGCTTTCCCAAATTTATATAATTAAAATAAAAAATTTTCATCAAATTTGAATAGTTAGTTGCGGAGAAATATTCATTCAAAACTTAGCATCTATAAAAAAAAAACTGCGGCTAAATTTTTTAATTAGATTTAAATAATGACTAGCTATCCAAATTCGATGAATTTTTTTCATTTCAATTTTATAAACAAACAGAATTGAAATAAAAACATTTTCATCAAATTTGATTAGGTAGTAAAGTTCAAAGAAAAATTTTACCCGATTTTTAAAAATTTTGATATTCTAACTTTTTTAAACTTTAGGCAAATATTTCTCGATAGCTACCAAATAGAATTTTGTCAAATTTTTTTATTTCGATAAGGGATCTTCGATTTCTACCAATAAAATTTAGCGAAGATCATCACGTGTCCGCGGAGATTTTATGCGGTTACTGCGACAGATTACAGTTCTCATAACTTTTGGGACAAACTAAAAATTTGTCATTTCCCGAAATCTTTTCGGTTTCATCCTAAAAGCCACCTAACTCTTTGGGTTCACGTCATTGTCTTCGGAACTTCAGCCCGGAGATAACGATGTATTTTCCGGAAAGTTAGATGATTCATATAATACGGGAAACGAACAAATTAAAATTTATTAAAATGAAATGGGGTATACTTTAAAATAAACATTTTTTTTTAGGGTTAGGGGTATTTTTTATTATAAAAGAGTTAAGCGGATTTTAGGGGGCTAAATAGAAGCCCCAAGTTCATTTTAATCTAATTTCATTTTAATCTACATCAACATCTTAATTTACAAATTAAAAAGTTTACTAGCAAACGTAAACGTCTAATACAAATATCAACTGTATCCTTTTAATCCTGCAATTAAAGAAGGTTTGTCATAAATAAAAATCATCATGCTATACACAATAAATCAAACTTTATATACATTATAAAAATTCTCCTACCGTATTTGCGCATAATAGCGGGCCGGGCGCTATTTCGAGTACCTGTGCGTTATTCGGGACGCACATGAGCGATATTTCGAATCATTTTTTATACCGAACGTAACAAATATTCAATTAGGTTCAAGGTGATATAGTAAAGATATTATATATGGGTGCGTTATTTAGAGACGCACGTGGCATCATTTTTGAGTCAAATATGTTGTTTTCAAAAAGTGGAAAATTCAAAATAATACCCAAATGTGTTATTACGCGCAAGTACGGTAATGATCTTTCAAAAAATTCATGAGGATTTCTTTAGAATAAGATAAGGTTTCGAATGCAAGTGCTAGACGATTTGTGCGATCCTTCGTCAACATTTTTAATTCTGTATTTCGATACAATCCGCAAGCCAAATTTTTCTTTCGACATTTTTTATTATTATTATATTATCATATATAAACCATTAAATAATAGGTTTATACTCAATATTTCTAGGTTGAAACCCTTTCACGTTTATTCTCAAAATGTTATATTAGGATCATACGATTAACACAATGTTTTTACTCATATTATATTTATTACTCTTATAATTATTTATTATGTAACCTCTAAATCTATATCAAATAATTCACAAGCGAAAAACAATAGATTACGAATAATGGATCCCATGTTCTCAGCGATATTGATAATGAATTTTAACTATTTAGTCAAATAATTTCTT